ACGCAGTACGTATTTACTATAATAGACATAGTCTTTACCTTGCCGTTTATTCGGTGTTATTTGCTTACTTTACTTCCTATGTCGACAGCAACTATGAGTTTAAAAATTATTTCTCAGTACTTATTCACTGTTAAAATGCTGTACCATTACTTTCACCATCTACTACAGCCAGATCTGAAGGCCTTTGCCGCATTCTGGCCATGCTGTGTGGCGCGTATCGCGTGGACGGGTTTCACGTTCTCTGCACGTAATAAGCTCGGTTATTAAGCATCCTTTTTTGGGGATGCCCGGTGGCCGAGGGGAAGACGTGTAGTGGCGTGAAGCTAGGCGATTAGGTGCCGTACGCGAGCGCCGGTTCGAGTCACGCACGCAGTACGTATTTACTATAATTAGACATAGTCTTTACCTTGCCGTTTATTCGGTGTTATTTGCTTACTTTACTTCCTATGTCGACATTATCGGACAGTGTCCGTTAGCGTGGCACATTAGTGTATTTCCTGGTAGAACTACTTAAGTCCACTTTTTTTTATAATAATTTGGTATTTGTTGAAAAGTATATTTAAGAAAAAACTTCATGAACTCGTTGCTTACGGGGTTGAGGACAATAGGTGATTTTCCGTACAATTGCGAGATCTCGCGAGATGCATGAAAGACGCGCGTCGAACGTCTGCCGCAAAAATCGAACGATTTGATTTTGAACTAGAATTTCTTTATTTCGTAGCTTACATTGACCGGCCGATCTTCGACAGCGGAATATTGCTTCCGAATACCCTTACTTAATCGAAATTGCCTATCATCAAATGTGGACAGCACATTATTAAGCATGGAAATGTCCCCGAAATACTTTTGCGTTTGTCGAATCCCACGCGATGTTTGACGCGACTACGACGCTATGACCTTTGTTTGTCCTGTTTTTACGTTCGATTTCACGCATAACGCGTGATTCTCGCAGTAAACGGAAAATGGTCTATTAAGAATCGACTCCTATTTGAGGTGTGTATGCCACTGGCCGAGTTTCATTCGCGGACGGATGCGTCTGTAAAATAATGTATTTTCGCTTGGGATGTTTTCGCTGAAGGGATGATTCAGTGAAAATAAAAGCCAGTGAATATATTTTTTGTTCTATATTTTGTGTTCAACTCATCAAAAATCAATGAAAATAAAACACTCAAAAAGTCTTGTCAGCGAAAATTAATATCAGGTAAGATAAAGACTAAGTCTCACTTATCCGATCTATATGTTTTTCATCTTTATTCAGTTTTTTTTGGTAAAGCATCGAAAACATCACTTTTCCGTAAACACTTTTTTCAGTCACGAGTAAAACAACGAAAACGCCTTTTTCATACCACGTTTTTTTCTATGACCAAATTTTTTTTCCGTGAAGCAACGAAACATCACTTTTTTATAATCATATTTTCAGAAAAGCAACTAAAATGTAAAATTTTAATAATTACTTTTCTTTACAGTTAAAGCAACTAAAAATTATGTTTTTATAATCACGTTTTTGGTAGAGCAACGAAAACTCACTTTTTTTAAACAACGAAAATGTCACTTTTCTATAATCGCATTTTTTCAGCACGACATCACTTCTACCACGTGCTATTTCCCACGTTTTTTTTTTCTTTCTAACATTTGTCACTAAAGAACAACCTCCATTAAAGAATCAATAAAGCGTGTTGTCTGTCCGTCTACCACAAACCGTGGGATCTACTCTTGAACAAACTCACTCCGTGAGCGAATTTAACAAAATGTGACCAAAAAACGATAAGGCTAAATGGGGTCAATACACTTTGTAACTTAATAAGCTTGTCAAGGACTCGCAGTGTTGGATTACATCCATGCCTATACAAAGTAAAAAGGGTTGATAAATTAGAAGGTGTTCGGTAGAGTTAAAAATCTACCACTTAAGTCGTCGTTAAACTGAGTAAACACAAGGCATACGTGGATGACTAGGTACCTAGTTGGTCGTCACATTAGAAACGCGTCCAGCGTTGGACAGGTACCCAGTTAGCTGTCACATTAGAAACGCGTCCAGCGTTGGACAGGTACCTAGTTAGCCA